ATCTCTCCAAAATAGACTGTAGAGATGATTTGTGGGAGGTAAATTCTCTCAGCTTTTGTTTATCTGGAAATTGTTTAATCCCTCCTTTAAATTTAAAAGATAATCGTCCCAGATAAAGTAATCTTGGTTCCAGGCCTTTCTGCTTCATTGCATTAAATACATCATGCCACTCCCTTCTGGCCTGTAAGGTTTCTGCTGAGAAGTCTGATGTTAGCCTGATGGGCTTTCCTCTGTATGTTATCTTATTTCTCTCTCTGGCTGCTATTAATAGTTTGTCCTTATCCTTGATCTTTGCCAATTTTATTACTACATGTCTTGGTGTTGTCTTCCCTGGGTCCCTTGTGTTTGGAGATCTGTGGAGACTCTATCTCCTTCCCCAGATTGGGGAAGTTTTCAGTCTATTCCTTTCTCTCTCTCTTCTTCTTCTGGTAGCCCTGTAATGTGAGTATTGTTCTGTTTGGATTGGTCACACAGTTCTCTCAATATTACTTCATTCTTAGAGATCCTTTTTTCTCTCTGTGCCTCAGCTTCTTTGTATTCCTCTTCTCTAGTTTCTATTTCATTTATCGTCTCCTCCACCATATCCAACCTGCTTTTAATACCCTCCATTGTGCTCTTCAATGATTGGATCTCTGACTTGAATTCATTCCTGAGTTCTTCGATGTCTTTCTGTACCTCCATTAGCATGTTGGTGATTTTTATTTTGAACTCCCTTTCAGGAAGAGTCTTAAGGTCCATGTCATTTAAATCTTTCTCTGGAGTTATATTAATTTTTCTCTGGACCAGATTCCTTTGGTGTTTCATGGTTTTATATGGCGCCCTCTAGTGTCCAGAAGCTCTACTGTGTAGCTGCTCAGTCCCGGAAGCAATGTTAGGGGTCAAGAGGAGTGATATTGGTGTCAGGGGGGAGGAAAGAGCTGTTTCCTGCTTCCCGGCTGCTATGCCTTTCTCCACTGCCTGAATCAGTGGGCCAAGCACACAGATATAAGCTTTTGTCCCAGAGCAGCCGGATATGCATCCCTGCTTTCCAGAAGTGGTTGGAATCTCAGTCTCTCCAGGAATTCTGCCTGTATTTGCTTTCCAACCCCATAATCATGAGAGTCTCATGAAAACACCATGAAATGTAGGTTTGTGTTCCCAGAGCATATCTCCAGAGCTAGGTATTCAACATTCCCAGGTCTTCCACTCCCTCCCTGCTCTGTTTCTCTTCCTCCTGCTGGTGAGCTGGGGTGGGGGAAGGGCTTGGGTATCACCCAGCCACAGCTGCTTTGGTACATTACCCCGTTCTGTGAGGTCTGCTCTTTTCTCCAGCTGTATGCAGTCTGGCACCATCCTCTTCCGTGTTGCTCTCTCAGGATTAGTTGCACCAACTATGTTTTCTAATTGTATCCAGTTTTAGGAGGAAGCCTCTGTCTCTCCTCTCATGCTGCCATCTTTCCCAAATGATAGATTTTAAAAGAAAATGGTTTGATTGTATTTTACTTGAGAAAAACATTTTCAGCTGTAATGTGGAGAATGAGGTGGAAAGGGCCAAGATGAGAGGCAGTTCTCCAGCTGTTAACCCACTAAGTAATCTGCTTTCAGCCTTTTGCAGTGTCCTTGGTTTTCTCCTGAGTAATTTCAATGGTAATCTCATGGGAAAAACAGCAATCCATAAAAATTCTGAACTGAAGTTGTTAACTAAAGAATCAAAGAAAGTTAACATAGCTGTTAGGAGCAGAAACTGGTGCCAGCTGTTGGGTCTCCATTCCTGACACTACCACTTCCTAGCCTTGTATTCTTGAGCAATTTATTTAATCTATTTGTGCCTCAGTTTTTTCTTCAAACAAATGGAAAAATAGTATTATGCAACTCAGGGATAATATGAAGGTTACATATGTGTGTGTGTTTGTATGTGTGTGAACACACAAAATTTAATTTTGAAAATAAGGAGATTTAGGAAGAATGAAAGAATAACTTAGCTGTGTTTCTCCTTTACGTCCTATAGCAAAGTAGTGATTTATCATCATATAGCAGTTCTCATATACAAAAAGAACAAGCACTCATATTTACACATGACCCTAAAAGAAAATAAAGTCATTTATTAAATCCATTCATTTTTTTCTTTCCTGTTTTGAATCCTTAACAACATGTTGAACACAGAGTTTTAAGTAAGACAAACTGATTATACCTCTTTCACTTACTAACTGGTGTGTGGGCTTAGACAAGTGCTTTCAACCTTTTTTAGCTTTGGTATCCTTATCTATAAAATTTGAATAATAAGAACAAATTAGTAGATTTTTTTTCTCAGAATTAAGGTAATATATGATGTGGTTCTTAACTCATAGTAAGAACTTATCACACTTATAATTTCTTTTTTCTCTCATCATAAGAGTTTTTGTAAAGGTTAAATTAATCAATATAAATCGAAATGCTTTTTAAATTATAAAATGATGTACAGATATTAGTTATTATTACAGACTTTTAGTAAAAAGTGTTATTTCTGTAGTTGCAAATTTAATAGCTTAGTAGTTTGGTGGTCAAAGGTCTACACAAGAATGTCTTAGATATTTAAAACTGTTAAATCAGTAAGAGGTTATAAACAAATGGTCAATTTTGTAATGTCCAAAACATATGGGCAATTTTGTAACATGACCTTGCTTTTTCAACTAACAACATTACTATTTTAACTGCCTTATAAAAGTTATGAGACCATTTAAGAAAATTTCTGTCTTGTATATAACCATCCTTCATCTCTTGGCTTTGTAGATTTTAATTGAGTTAGAAACAGCGTTATTAGATGATGAGCCACACTGGTATAAACTGCAGACCCATGACGTCTCTTCATTGCCGCTTCCCCATCCTTCTCCGTACATGCCGCGACGACACCTCCACGGAGAGAGCCCAACACGAAGGTTGCAAAGTAAGTTTTCAGTAAACTTTATCATAACTTTATTGAATTATCTTGAATGATATATATAACATAGACTTTGAAGATACCATTATGGGTATTAGCAGGTGTCTTTTGGTGTTTTCATAACTATTTGTTGAAGCTTTTAAGTTGTTTTATACACTAAGATCAGTTTATACTTAACAGTTGTCACTCATCACAGTATGATCCCAAATGAAGCAGAGGTATGTTTAAATTTTAGCCCTTAGAATCTTACTTGTAGGAATGAGATAGCTAATATAATAGAATTTGGTCATGTAGCTATAGATATCTTGTGCTTCCTTCCTGCATTATGGCAAATATTTTATGAATATGTAGGATAACAAATATAAAATAGTAGTTGAAGTCATGACCATGAACGTTACTCAGATAAACCAGAGTTTAAATTTTATTCTCTGACTTAAGAATAGAATGACTTTGGGTAGGTCATCTCTCTATGCTTCACTTTCCTCATTTAAAAAATGGGAATAGTTGTACCTACATTACAGTGTGATTTTAAGAGTTAAATAATCTCAGGAATACAAGCTGATGTTATTGTTATTATTATTGTCAGTGTTTGCATTTTATCCTGAAATATTTATAGTCTAAAACTGTAAAAGAGAATTAGATCAATTCAGAGAAACTTAAAGGAAAATCAGAAGTGTTTTGCAGATTGAAAAGTGGTGTTGTTCGTTAGTTACTCCTACAACTCAAGTTTGTTTTCCTGATTATATTATTGAAAAGTGAGGTGTCTGCTTACTGCTTTGAATAGTATTCATAGGATAATTTTATCTTCATGAGTCAGCATGTTCCAGGTTTAGCAACATTTTTGTCAAGTAATGGTAAACTGACTGACATTAACCAGATTTCAGAAGTGTCAATTTATACCCAAAATGCCCTATTGCTTATCAATCATGGTAAGTATATTTGGCAATATAACATATAACTGTTATATGCATCACACCCTTCCTACTGAATAGACAATTAAATTGTGTATCAGAAGGCTGTTTGACAAACAGAATTAGAGCAAAGAATTGGTCCTGTGGTGTTTAGTCATAGGGAAGCATAGAGAATTACTGTCACTCCTTTTAAAAATAATCTCTCTAATGACTGGAATACTAGATATAGTCTTTTACACTTGGATGGTATTAACTGAACACTCATTTTATAGAACTCACTTCTTTCAGCCTCCCCAGGAGTAAACACCACCCACTGTTACCATTGCCATTACAACATCCTTTATTGTAATAATAACATTACCATGAATTTTATGTGGACTAGTTTTAGAGTGTTTTCTCTATCTGGCCACTGTAATCTACTCAGTACATTCTCTCTAAATCACAGTGTAGTATGATGGGTTAGTACATGAAGGTTGCTAATATAATTCATGATGTAGTAATTCTTATAGTTTACATTTATTGGTTAATACTAGCCACCATTGCCCTCTCTTAGAGGGTTAGCCTTCTCCCCATTTACTCCAGTTATTAATACAATAAGGAGTAGTTTTCCCGACTCTCAACATATGAAATTCTTAAGTTTACCAACAATTCTCATAATTTTTTTCTGCCTAGCTAATTAAGAATAGAGTATGCCAGGAACAATGAAAATAGAGTACTTTCTAGTTAGCTGTATGTATCATGGATTTTCGTGAAGTTAATCAACTTTGCAGCTGTTAATATTTTCCATTCCCCAAATGACTCTTCTGTTACTTAATTTTTAATAGTATTGATTTACCCATGGGTAATATAACAGCTCCATGTTGTACTGTGTCAGTCTTGTCACTACCTACTTACTCTTACTAAATCTAAAATTCATTTGGAATTAATTTTTGTATATTTGCAAAGTAGAGATCGAAAAATTCATTTTTAATCTTCTGGTTGTTCACTTGACCCAGCACATTTACTGAAAAAAAATCACATCTATGTGGTTAAGTTTCTGAACTCTGTTCCTTTCAATTAGTCTTTGCTATTCTTGTACCAATACCAAAGTGTCTTAATTACTGTAGCCTATACTAAATTGTGATATCCAGTAATGTAATTAGCCCAACTTTGTTCTCTAAGATGGTTATTACTGTTCTTGACATTTTTTTCTTACAAACAAATTAAGTATCAAATAATCATTTTCCACAAACACCCTTTCGGGCTTTGATTCAATTACTTTGATTCATTTGGGTACAACAGACATCTCTCCATGGAATGAGGAGAATTCCATCCATGAATCTGATGTATCTCCAAATAATATTATAATAGGTTTCAGTGCAGAGGTTTTGTACCTTTATTAGATCTACAACTAGAAATTTGATTTAAATTGATGCTAACATGCAGAAATAAAAGTTATGTATTATTTTCAATGACTCCATACATTATTTTGAATTCTGATGTACAATATTATGTCATCTGTAAATAATGACAATTCTCCTCGTTCAAATCGGTTATACATTGCTTTTCTTTTTCTTACTGCTTTGGCTTGGTCCTATAATACAATGCTGAATAAAAGTGATATTGTTGAGTAGAAGTTGATGTCCAAGTTTTGTCCCCCATTCCTTGGGAAAAGTTTTAAATATTTCCCCATTACAGTTGATATTTATTGTAAGATTTTTGTGCTGCTATGAGATTCAGGAAATTTTGTTTTATTCCTGGTTTGATAAAAGTTTTTAATCATGCATTGATGTTTCATTATGCCAATTTTTAAATGTGTATATAGATAGTAACCATATGATATTTCTCTTTTATTCTATTAATATGGTAAATGCATTGATTTTCAAATGTTAAGGCAATCTATCATTCCTGTAATAAACTCAGCTAGCTCTTGATGCATTATCATTTTATCCATCTCTGGATTGACTTTGCTAATGTTACGTGTAGAACTTTTGCATTTATATTCATGAGATAGAGAAAGATTGTCTTTCATTAGTTTCTGTTATCAATGTTATACTGGCTTCATAAAAAGTATAGGATATGTTTCTTCTTTTCTGTTTGATGTCTTTTATTGTAGTAATCTTTTCCTTTATTGAGTAATCTTTTTAAGTTTTGATTTCAGTATTATGCTGGCCTTATAAATAGTGTTTGGAAGTATACCCTCATTTTCTGTTGTTTGAAACAATTTGCACACTACTATATTATTTCTTCTTTAAATGTTTAGAAGCATTCACCATTTAAGTCATTAAGGTTGGCAATTTCTTTGTGTATAGATTTTAAACTGCAATTTTAATTTCTCTACTAGATCTAGAACTATTCAGAATATTATATCTTCTTGTGTCAGCTTCGTTAAATTGGATTTTTCTTGGAATTTGAACGTTTCTCCTAATTTAAAAAATATTTCAATGAAATTGTTCATCGTAATATCTTATTATCCATTTAATTGTTGGTGTGCAGTGATGTCCTCTTTTCTGGAATATTGCTAATTTGTTCCTTCTCTTTTTCTTCCCCTTTGGTTAGACTTGCTAATAACCTGTCATCTTATTAGTGTTTTCAACAAAAAAAAAATTTTTGTTTACTTTCTAGGTTGTATGTTTGTTTTTCTTTCCCATTAGTTTTTCTTACTATTATTTCTCTACTTTCTTTAGGTTTACTTTGTTTTTCCTCATTTCTTCAGAAAGATAGTTAATTATTAATGTGGTGTTTAATTTACCAATGGATTATTCAAGAGGGTAATGTTAAATTTCCAAACTAAAGAGATTTCTAGGTTTTTAAATTTTTGGATATTGCTGTATGGCATAATTTCCCTCTTGTCAGAGTGTACTTTGAATAATTGGAATCTTTAAAATTATTTGTTTAATTTATGGTGATGCATGTAATTGATTTTTGTAGAAGTTCTTGAAAAGAATATTTTGTCATAGTTTGGTATATGTTCTATATATGTAAAATTCATCAAGCTTATAAATTTGGTTTAAATTTTCTGTTTTTGCTGATTTTTTTTTCTGATTACTGCATCAGTTATAGAGAGGTATGTTTTAATCTCCATGTATGGTTGTAGACATTTTCCTTTTAATTTTGTCACTGTTTGCTTTAACTATTTTGAGATTATGTTTTTAGATGCATACAAACTAGAAGTGTTATTTTTTTCTAATAGATTGATAATCTTAGCATCTCTTTTTTTATTTAGGTATCATTGATATACAATCTTATGAAGGTTTCACATGATTAAGATTGTAATTACAGCATTCACCCATATTATCACGTTCCCCCGCCCACACACACACGCACCTCCACTCCATTGTAGTCACTGTCCATCAGCATAGTAAAATATTATCTCTTTTTATATTTACGAGCATTTTTTCCGTAAGACGTACTCTGCTTAATGTTACTATTGCTGCAGCTGCTTTTTTCTTGGTTAATGTTTTTTGTGTGATGTATTTTTCTCAAGCCTTTTACTTTTTACCTCTTTGTGCCATTTGTCTTTTGAAAACAATGTAAAGTTGGTCTTAAATCCATTCTGACAGGATATATCTTTTATTGGGGTAATTTATACATTTACATTTGATGTAATTTCTTACAAATTTTGCTTAATATTTTACACGTTATTATTAAGGTTTGGTTTGCCTTTTTTCTCCTTTCTTGCTTTCTTTGAAATCCACATTATTTTGATTATATCAACAAATAATTAGTTACCTATCACATTTGTGGTGCTGATATTATGACAGATCGATCCAAAGATTCATTATACTTAAGTAGGAAGTAAAATTCTTATTCACACACTTGGATGTGAAATACACTTTTTTTTCCAAAAGTCATGTTTAATCTGGTTCTTAGGTACCTTTTGTCTTAGTTAAGTATCAGTATTTTTCCTTCTTACCTTTTCCTACCTCTCAATAGAGGTTCTAGGAAGCTGTAAAAAAATGACAATTTTCAAGGAAGACCTATTAATTTTTACTCCTTACTAAGCTTCACTGACATGTCCCACTATACAGTGGTTAACTGAAACCAGGTCTACACATAGCAGTTTTTACTAATTCTGATTGCTCTGGTGCTTAGCATCCAGTCTTCTTACTGCATCGTGGAGCTACTATCCTGGAATACTAAAATATCACTGGGTTCTGGAGAAGTTCTTAGAACCTAGGTCTGTATTAGTCACAAGGCTTTCAAACCTTCATCCCTTTACTAATTCTGAGAAATCTTGACCTTCAGCAGTGCTTACCTCCGTTTTTTGCCTCCTGTATACTCCTCTCTCTTTTCTCTCCTCTAGCATAATCACATTAATAAATCTAAGATATGAAAATGAAAGTGTCTACGTCTCACTTTGCTTTTAATTCTGAAACATAAATCTCCCTAATTAAAAGAAACACACAAGTCTTTCTACTAAATGTGGAAGGGAAATGTAAAGATAATAAAACAGTTTATGTCCCAGTACCCGATAAAGTCATACTTAATCTTTGACTTTGTATAATTTTCAAAATCATATATAGAAAGGAAAGATGTAAAAATTAAAATTGTAAGCTTATATGGAATGCCATAGTAATGTAGAAGAAGTATGAGAGACTAGTACAAGCTGTGATAAGCATTTTAGCTAGGCCTGGAAAGAATAGATAAGATTCCAACAAATGGAGATGAGAAAAGTAAATAGTAAGTTTGAGAAGATGAGCATATAAAATCTAAATAGTATAATGAGATTTATTTTTGAAAGCATTGAATGCCAGGCTAAGGAATAGGGGATTTAGCATTTTCAAATAGGATCTGAGGATAGAAGTCTGAAAAAAATAGCACAATAACATTTTAATGTATCACCTCTCCTTGGTGTGCTGTAACCTGAAAAAAAAAGTGTGTTTTGAAGAGATGTGTTTTCCTTCAGCTTATTATATATGCAATTGCCTATCTTGCTTAAAAATGAATCCTCATGTATGTTGGAATTGAAGAGAAAGTTAAATGTAGCAAATATTAGGGAAAGCAACAAACTGAAATGGGAAAAATTAGGGGGAAAATGGCTTTGCTTGCATTTAAAGCACAAGTTTTTATTAAGTAATGGTTATAATTGTTTCCAATTGGCAAATGTCACAGTATGTAAATAATTCCCTATCTCCCCTCATAAAAATCCCTTTCAACAATTTTCAACATCACAGTTTGGACCAAAATGTATACATTATTTTTTTAATGTTATATATGTAAAATTTTATGTAATATATATCATGAGAGATATTTTCAATATTCATTGTTACAATCCCTTCAATAAAAATTTAAGCTTTTAATTAATAGCTTGAAACATTTGACAGCTAACCTTTTTTCTCATTTAAAAACTGCTTTCATAAATGATGAATTTTTAATAGTGAAGAGAAATTTTAATTTTAGAAAGACAAAGGAATTATATCTTTAACAGAAAACACTCATGTTCACTTTCTTATCTCATTTAAAAATTTTAAGCACTTTACAATACCAGCGGAGAAAGAGCTATGGTTGGAAAAGTTTAGTGTCTTTTGTTCTATATTGATTATAGTTTTAAGAAATATAGCTTCAAGAAATAGTGTAATCCTTTGACTATTAATCTCAACTCATTACAATATCTTGTTCTAAATTTTGGCAGTGAAAATCTGCACTACTGAATTAAACCTTACACTTCTTGATGATGGTACTGATTATTTTGCTTTATATCCTTTTCCTATTAGGCAAATAGTAATTAAAAAAGGAAAGTCACATGAGGTTATCTCTGAATTTAAAATTGATATAGTGATAAAATGGATTTCAGAAAACTACTCTGGGAGTCTGCTTAACAACAATGTGCCTTGCAGAAAATCCTCAAATAATGCCTTTCAAAATAAAAAACGCATAGTAAACTTAGATCAGTTATATCTGTCATTAAACCATAATGTTAGGTCATTCAAGAGCTAAAAAAGACATGAAATAATACTTTTTTTCTTAGTGTTCTTAAAACAGACAAGCATTCTATGTATTATAATATCAATTTGGGGGCATTAGTAGTTTTACTGAAGAAACATTGTTATATGTGAAAACATTTTTCCCAAGAATAAAGTTTCATGATTCAGAGTTACCATTAAAGAACATGAACAGCAGAGTGACCTAAAGTAGGAAGAATACAACGCATTAGACTGGATATTTAGTACATATATATCCAGTCTTAAGTTCTATGGTTTGGATGTATTGTATTAGCATGTATTTGCATATGTGGGTAAGTTGCTATGAATATGGATAATCATCTTAAATATTTTAATAAAAAGTGTTTAACATGATACAGTGTAACTGCTAAAAATATTACTTGTTACAGCATGTAAAATATGGTTCAGTATTTATGTTGACTTACATTTATAGTTATAATCAATGTTTTAACTTAAGGAAATATGTAAAAACTCATTGATATTGCAACTTTACATTATATATACTAAGGAGTGAAGTCTTTTTTAAAGTAATAATTTTTTAACTTACTGTGTAATACACCTCTATTACTCTCTCCTACAGTTTTGCACTATACGCATTATGATCACCTCTTCATAGTACAGTTTTCTAGTATCAGCTGTTTACATGTGTGCTATATTAATGGTACAAATTATTGCTCTTCATATTCCTTTTTTAACTTCTGTTTTTTTCTTGTTTAGAAGGATTGTTGTAACTTTATATCTTTTGTTATTTTTCTCTATTTTTTGAACAATGAGCTTCTTCATTTCTATTACATTGTTTTCCTTTATTTCATGGTATTCCAGGAGTTTTTGACATTTTGAAGTATCAGTCTTTTCATTTTCGGTTTATGTGTGTAACTTCCACTGGAATCATTACTTTCTATTATATTTTAATTTCAGTATGGTCAGTAACTTTTATCCAGTGTTATGCTGGAGCTAGAGCCAATTGTGAACTTCTCTTCCTTTCATATCCAGTGACATTGGTAGCTTGAAATTGGCTATATGGGAGTATTTACATTGTTATACTGTAAGCATTGTTAATATATATTATATATTGTTACATATATGAAGTATATGCTTATGTTAAATGTTACATATCATGGCTTTTTCCCCTGAGAGAGTTGTTAAATCTCTATCAGCACATCACTCACTGGCTTATATCATGTACCAAAATTAAATTAAAGTTTAGTAAAATTTAAATGTAAAAAGCTAAAATGTTAAAGGGCTAGAGAAACATAAATGAGTATTTGACCAATAGCTTTATGAAAGCAATGGAAGGAAACACAGATAGGAGTATCAATAGATTTTTAAAATATATAATGAATATATTAAATCTATTTTAAATGAAAATGTTGGAAAGGTAAGTTGACAACCTGATAATTAAAATTTGTGTTGATTTTTTAAAATCCTATTTTAGTCTAGTTAATTTCTTTATATTTAATTTGTGAAAATATGTACTGGATATAATGTTACAATGCTTATAAAATTATTCAACTCTTCTATTTTTTCTAATTTCTGCGATTTTATACTTATGTCCTTATGAAATCCCTATAAAATGGCCAAAATAAAGTTCTTTTTTTTCTTAAAATACATAATTTCAACACTGTAGATTACTAATGGGACAGATCAGTCATGTAAGTTAATGCTAAAACACTACTTTATTTGTTAAATGAAGTTCAGAGTTGTTGTTCGTATTTTAAATCTTTTAATTGAATATTAGAAACTAAGCTTCTGTTAATGTATGAACCTATTATTTTATTTTCCTGTGATTTATTATCTTTGTGCTAACACCTTAGATGTGTCAGGATAAATATTTACATTTTTTTCCAGGTATTAAGGTTAAGGCATCTTTACACTAGTCTTGTATTTTTGCAGCATGATAGTTCATACATTTCTTGGAATTACAATGTATATTCATAGAATTTACTCATCTTTCAATGTGAAAACCTTAATATTTTGCCACCTTTTAAAGTGTTGTAAGTATGTATACATAGAAAAATCGAATTTTTATTCTGCTTAATTGTGACAGTTTATATATGTAAATATAAATAAGTAATTTTTTAATCAAATGAGAATGTCAAAATAACTTGTCCCCTATAAATTTTCAGTTTTCCTCTTTCTAAAAAAATTAAAAGAAATCAAATTTAAACTATACTTTTTCAAAATCAGGAATTCCTAAAATAAAATGTTAAACTGCAGTATGTGTTGTAAAGCAATATTAGATTTCAATATCCCTATTATATGTAAAGATTTTTTAATGTATTTTTGACATCATTTTAACATTTTTTTCCAGATAAAGCCTTATGTTCATATAATTCAGGTAAATTTTAGCATGTGCAATGTTTAATGCATGTATTCATATGCACAGTTTAATCAGTTTTGTTGTTTTGTGCTTTGTCTGGTTATTGTGCATATGTTAAATTCTTAAATAAAATGTCAATAGCCTTCCTTTTCTGCCTATAGTACTTTTCCAGTATCTCAGTGTTTACATCTTTATTATTATGAAAACCATTTGTTAAAATACTATAATTTTAATGTGTCTAATGTCACCTCCTTTAGTATGGTGCTATTTCTTGATGAATTATGTTTTAGTGTATACTGTTATTATGTATGTTTCAGAAGATTTGAATTTATATGGATACAATTTTCAATGTTTTGACTTACGGAGGGTTAGTATTAAAAATTCTAAGTATGTTGAATTAAAACTACAATGTTTGTTGTAGTTTTCATCACTTTAGCCACTTTCTCATATCTTGCAAAGAAAACTGAATAGATTTAATTTTATTACTTCAACATATTTTTAACTTTTAAGTGTGAAGTATATGTCAAGATATTTTTTTATGTCAAGATATTTTAAACTGATGTTAAATTTTTAACTGATATTTCCCTTAGTTTTAATAATTTTAATTGAAAATATTTAAAAATGTACTTAGCCTAATGAACTTTTATATTTTTAATAATTATCCTCTTGAATTAGATGAGGAAGTAATTATAAAAAGCCTCAGGAATGGCACATGAAGTTTCAAATCTACTGAGGAAGGCTACCACTTTTAACTAAGATGGAATAAAAGGAACTGAAGTCACCTTTCCCACCTTAAACAGCAAAAATGGTCAAATAACAAAGCAATTGCTTGGAAAACACTGGCTAATCAGGCAACAAAGAATAATCATTACTAAGAGAAAGGAAACAAAAGAGTTGAACTGCAAATGAGTTGTCCTCACCTACCACAGTTTTCTGCACACGAGGGGAGAGAACCCATGAAGCCTATGGACTCCTTGAGCTGAGGAAATGCAGCTGAGGGCAGGGAGACCAAAGTGGCTACCGTTCATGTAACAGACTGCTGGGGAGAAAGCTCCAATGATCTGCAGAGGGTCCATCTCAGTTCTTCAGCTGAGTATTTATCCGTGCATAAATGGAGGTATCTACCCAAAGCTGGGGAAAGACTCACACAAAAGGATTTGAAGTTATAATGCCTGAGAATAATGTCTGTTTTTTATTTTTTTAGTGAGATAGGAAAACATCAAATTTCAAGAGACATTGCCTTAAGTACACAGTAGTGTCTGGCCTCAGTAGTGGAGAATAACTTGCTCTAGACTGAACATTGTATCACATAAAAAAATCTTAACAACAAGAAATGAAAGGATTAAAATATTTCTAAATAATACAACAGAAAAAAATGTCAGAAATACTTAAAGGAATACAAAAATACCGAACCAACAACAATATAAAATTCACAATGGTTGGTATCTAATAAAAAATTCCCAGCCATGCAAGAAAGAAAAAAAGAAAACGTTCATTAAAAAGGATATAAATCAATCAAAACTAAACAAGAACTATTAAAATTAGATGTTATAATTAGTAGACAAAGACATTAAACAGTTTAGAAAAGTACTCCATTTGTTAAAAAAGTAATGGAGACATGGAAGCAATAAATGGTCCAAATCAAACATCTGAAATAAAAATACACTAAATGGGATTAATGACAATAAATAATGCAAAGAAAAACATTAATGAACTTGGAGATACAGCAATAGAAACTACCCAAAGTGAAGCATAAGTAGAAAGGAGAATTTTAAAGCAGTAACAGAGTACCTTTGAGCAATGGACAACTTGAAACTGCCTAATACCCAGCTAATTTAAGTCCCTGCAGGAGAAGAGAGGGAAAAACAAAAATATTTGAAAAATAATGGCTGACAATTGTCATTATTTGATGAAAACTATAAACCCATATATCCAGGAAACAATGAATTTAAAACACAAGAAACATGAATAAAGATATACCAAGGTGCATCATAATTAAATTACTTAAAACCAGTAATAAATAGAAAATCTTAAAGCACCCATAGAAAAAAGACTCAGTACATAAGTTGAGGAATGAAGATAAAAATGCAGATTTTTTATTATATGTAATAGTGCAAGTACTCAAAGATAAAAATTTCAATCTAGAATCCCATTCATTTCCTCAAAAATGAAAGCAAAATAAAGACTTTTTAAACAAACAACTACTAAAAGAACATCAGCAGAACCCATGTTAAAGGAAGCCCTTTAGGCAAAAAAATAATGAGAACAGATGAAAATATAGGATATCGACTTACGTAAAGACATGGGGAACTCCAGAAATGGTAACTGCATGGTTAAATACATGATTTTTTTCTTATCATTTAAATATCTTTAAATATAATTGGTTGCTAAAACAAATAGCAATGTAATATGTGGCTTGCAACATATGTAAAATATATGGCAATAGCAACACAAAGGATAGGAGAGGAAAAACATGTTTTACACTATACAATATAATAAGTAGTATGATAATCATCTGAAAGGAGATTGTAATAAGTTAAATATATATACTCTAAGCCCTAAAACCACAAAAGTAGATGGAGCTGAGTCAAAACTAATAAGCCAACAGAAAAGATAAAATGGAACCATAAAAATATCCATTTCATCCAAAAGAAAACAGAAAAAGAGGAAAAGAGAACAAAGAAGAGATGGGGACAAATTGAAAATAAACAGCAAGTTGATGGTGTAATCTAACCAAATCAATTATCACATTAAATGTAAATAGTCAAAATACACCAGTTAAGAGGCAGGGCTTGTTGGGTTTGATTTTTTTTAAATGGCAAAAACCAACTATATACTATCTGTAAGAAACCTCTTTTAAATATAAAAACACATGGAGTTTTAATATAAAAGGATGAAAAAGATATACCACACTAATACTAATTAAAAGAAATATTGAGTACTTACCTCAAAATCAGGCAAATTACATTTTAGAGCAAAGAATATTAACAGGGTTAAAAGAGGTCATTTTCTAACAGTAAAGGGGTTAACTGATTAAGAGAACACCTCAGACCTAAACATTTAAGCACTTGATAACAGAGTTTCAAATTACATGGAGAAAAATTTGTAGATTGTCAGACTGGAGTAAAAAATTTATGGACTGTCAGACTGGTGCTTTAAAAAGCTCAACATTGACAAACATTTAACTAGTCTGACAAAGAGAAAAGACACAGATTACCAAAATCAATAAAGCTCTGGAAATCACTACCAGTTTAACAAAAATTAAATGGTTTACTATGGGAATACAATGAACATCTTTATGCCATGAAATTAAACAGCAGAGATGAAATGAACAAATTTCTAGACAGCCACAAATTGCAGAAACAGATCCAGGAAAGATAAAAAATCTGAATAAATCTATTTAAAGAAGTTAAATTAGTAATGCAAATTCTTCCCACAAGGAAATCCTAGGCCAAGAGACTTCACTAATGAATCCTATCAAATACATGGAAAGACATACCCATCCTTCTCACATTTCTTTTAGAGGAAAAAAGAGAAGGAAATACTCTCCAGTTCATTTTATGAAGCCAATATTATCCTGATACCACACAAAGCCCTATAAACATGTCAGAAGAAAACTGCAGACCAGTATCCCTCATATCATCATGAAACCCTCAAAAAAGTATTAGTAAATGAAATCCAGAGATATACGTGATTACATACTAACTGTATGATAACTGATAAATCCCAGTAACGTAGAGTTTATTTCCTAACTAAAAATCAATTGTGTAGTTCCACATTTTAGTAGAAAAAGGACAAACCATATGATCAAATAAAGAGACAAGGAGAAAAGCTGTGACAAAAATCCGACACTGATTCACAATGAAAACTATTAACAAAGTAGGAAAAGAAGGGAACTTCCTCAACCTGATAAAGAAGACCTACAAAAACCTACTGATGATATCATTTTTGGTTTTAAAAGACTGAATGCTTTCCTCTTAATTGGGGAGTGGCAAGAATGTCTGCTTTTACTATTTTATTCAGCATTGCACTGGAGAGTCCAGTTAGAGTAGTGAAGCAAGAATAATAAATAAAGGCATTAAATATTGAATGAAAAGAGTGAAACTGTCTTTATTCATAGACAAGGTGATTTTATATGTAGAAAATTCTCAAGAATATTAAAAAAAACTACTATAACTAATAAACAATGTCAGGAAGTTCCCAAGATACACAAACAGTATACAAAATCAATTTTATTTTATATACTAGTCACTAACATTTTGAAAAGGAAATTAAGAAAAATATTTTCATTCACAATAGAATACTTATGAACAAATTTCACAAAGTAAATGCAAATTTGCATATTAAAGAAATACAAAACATTGCTGAAGGAGATTAAAGGAAGGTCTAAATAAATGAAGAAATATCCCAAATTCATGGACTGGAAGACTCAATATTGTTAAGCTGCAATTCTCCCTCAAGTTTGCACAGATTCAATGCAATCCATATCAAAATGTAAATAGAATATTTTGATGAAATTAATAAGCTGATCTTAAAATTTTTATGGGAATGCATAGGATCCAGAGCAGCCAAAAAAGAACAAATTTAGAAAACTAATACTTCCTGATTTTAAAACTTACTATAAAGCTGCAATAATCACAGCATTATGGTACTAGCATAATGACAGATCTATAGATAAATGGAACCTAATCCAGAATTCAAGAATAAGTTTATGGTCTATTTATGGTCAGTTTATTTTCAGCAAAGGTGCTATGGCAATTAATGGGGGAAGATTTTCTAGCTTAATGCTTGAAAAATTGAACATTAACATGCAAAAAGATTAATTTAGACCCTACCCCACACTGTTCACAAAAATTAATTTAAAATGAATCATAGACCTAATTGTAACAACTGAAACTATAAAACTCTTAGAAGAATACATGGCAAAAAAAATCTTTATTTCCAAACAGTACAAGAGCAAAAATCAGGATCAATAAAAGAACATAGTGATAAATTGGACTTCATCAAAATTTAAGATA